TTATCTGCCACGCGTGAGGGGAGAGTGCAGGGCCGTGTCCAGCCATCCTGCTTGTTCAAAGGGAAGTGGTGAGATTTTGCTAATTTACCTTCAGTTGGCTGGTTGACTTGTTTGGTCTTTGTCCCTTTTTGTCCTTTTCCCTTCTCCCTCCCCCTCTTCCCTTTTTGGGGAACTGTTTGGGATTTCTGGAGTTGTGGTGTATAGTATTCTCATTGTATATATCTGTCTCATATGTAAAATATATATTTATTTTTTTTTTTTTGCTATAGCTTTGGCTGCTTAAGTCGTTTCTTTTCTCTTCCTTCTCTGGGAAGCAGGTCCTTGTTGTCAAGTTTCAGGGACTTGGCGGGAAGCCAGCTCAAAACTTGCACACTAGGACTGGACCAAGGGTACTCATTACACTTCACGAATGCTCTCAGCCAGCTGTCAGTCATGCCACCAGAGACAAAACCTCCCCACTGATAAATCCACCCCTGTTGGGAGCTATGGCAAAGCCACAGCTTTGCCTCATCTGTGGCACAGCAGAGACCAAGAAGGCAGACCAGGCACATTTTAAGCATCATTTTATCCTGAAACAGTAGCCTGTCAGGGCATGGAGTGGAAACCTCCATAAGCTGGGTCAAGTGAGGAGCACAAGCCCATATAACCTTGCCCAATCTCCCTCCAATCTCTGTCTCTAAGTATCCCAGCACAGAATTTCAATTTTTCCAAGACTGCTTGCAGTTACTTTTGTTTCACATGCGAACTGGAAGCTTCTGTGGATCAATGGCCAGTTGTGTATGGCCTTGACTTTTACTCAGGGCAATAAAAGAAGCTGCATGTACAAATTAGGTAAGAAATGCAGAGCAGTTTCTCAGTTTTTTCTTCCTTTTATAGACAGTGTGTCTGCATTAAACATGTGATAGCAGCATGTCACATGTTTAATGCACCCAAGTGTGAGTAAAAGCTATTGTGTGAAAAGTTTATTGTATTTCATGTACAATTAATTATGGAAGTTCTGATTTGAATTTTTACAATCTATCACTCGAGCAGATGATTAACTGCAATATTTACGCGATTGTATCAATTTATCCCTGTTCAGATCTGGCGCAGTTATGATGCTGACAGCAGTGGATTTATTTCAGCTGGTGAGCTCAAAGTAAGTTATTCTAACAAATCTCTGTAGGCTTGATCTACAGCTCACTGATGTCAATGGGAGCCTTTCTGTCAGTTTTACCAATTCGCTGCCTTTTTGTGTGGTTGACAAATGATTGTTAATAACAAGATTGTTAATAGTGAGCTGAAGGACTCACTCCTTTTGGCATGGTCTCAGGGACTCTGCAGGAGGGAGGATGCTCTGCTGTTGCCCTTGATGTCTTGCTTTGTCCCATGTCCCCACTTGTCTTGGTGACACTGAGGCACCCAATGAGCCCCACAAACGTTGCCTTGCCTTGGCCTCTCCCAGCTAAACAGAGCCAAACCATTGTATTTTATTAATGGGATTTCTGCACAATCTCTTCCTGAGCCTGCAGATTTTCTGAACACTGATTTCTCATTAAAGCTCAGGCTGTTGAGACGAGAGACTGTTCAGATACAGTAACTCAAACACTTTGAGTCATCTGGGCACAAAAGTCCATCCCTGGGCTGCAGACCATGTGCTGAAGTCTCAGTGCATGGCTTCAGCCTGTGCCCCAGTAAATATATAAGAGGATGTTTAAGGGTTTTGCTGAAAAGAAAATATTTTGATTTGACATCAGTTAGCAAATGCTGAAGGATCGATGTTATTTTTTGCTTATTTTATGAGTTAATTAATGATTCATTCCAGTATGCATTCTCTGGGGACTTTTTTTTATTTTCTGATTTATTTGAAAAAATATGTTTCATCTAAAAAAAATTTGAACTTTGTGAAACTGAAGACACTACTACTAAGCAGCAATGTGAAACTAAATTCATATAACTCTGCTGGATTTGAATTGAATTTGTTACTGTTATTTCTTGAATTTACTCTAAAGAGTAAAATTTGTCTCTTTCTTACTAAAGGATTTCCTGCGAGATCTCTTTTTGCAGCATAACAAGACGGTTGCTGAAGTAAAGCTGGAAGAATATACTGATACCATGGTAAGAAAAGATAGTATTAATATTGTTTAGATTAGAGTACTGACTAAAAATCTTCAGGGTCAATGTCTACAGGGCCATAAAAGCCCTCTTATAAGGTGTACCAGAGAATCCTTTGGGAAGTTAACACATGCTACAGCTAACAGTTCTTTACACTAGACATCAGCTGTGAAAGCATTTCAAACACTTTTGGTTTAAGTTGAACTATTCCTGTGAAAAAACAGCTCAACTCTATGTCAAAGCAAACTGAGCTCTAAACTCCTTTAAAAATAGGTGAGGCACATCTTCTTCAGGACATGTTCAGCCACAGCTAGATTTCTAGCTCATTCACTCCCTCCTTGCCTTCCTCCTTCCTAGCAAATCCTTTTGCTTCCAAGACGAGCAGATATCTGGCTTTTCTGCTCCGCGAAGCCCAGCAAGCCTTGCTGGCTCCCTGCTGCTTCCCTGAAAGACTGGGAGGTTGAAAGTTTCAACTCTTCCCTTGCCTTATCACAATACAGCTTTTATACCGCAATCAACAGTGTATTATTTGGTGTAAGTTTAGCATCAGTCACCTGGATTTCAGAGCAACTTATTATATCTAATATAATATATATCTAATTGTCAGGAGTGGTCTAGTGGTTAGGGTGCAGGGCTCTCACCGCTGCGACCCGGGATCGATTCCCAGCCCCCCGGGCAGATGGAGCTCGTCAGCCCTGT